TGTGTGTGTGTGTGTGTGTGTGTGTGTGTGTGTGTGTGTGTGTGTGTGTGTGTGCGCGCGTGTGTGCGCGTGTGTGCGCGTGTGTGCGCGTGTGTGCGCGTGTGTGCGCGTGTGTGCGCGTGTGTGCGCGTGTGTGCGCGTGCGCATAAATATCATACGTACATGCCGACGTATCACACACACGTATGCAGAAGAAAACACAAAACGAGGAAACACCAATAATAACTAGAGCCGCTAGAGTGGCCCAGTCAGCGCAGCCTGCACAGCCGGCAGCAGCGGCCATCAGCTGATATCAAAATGTAAGCTATAATAAGCGTATGAAGCGCACTGACTTGAAATGTTCGCATTCAGTTACTTGCCAGTGCCGCCAATAGATGGCACTCGTATGCTAGTACGAACGAAGCGCGAAGTTGGTTGAAAATGCTGATAAACGTTTCATCAAACCACTTATAACACCTTATAACACAAATTAAATTGACATGTAATTCGTATAAAATCAAATGTAACATTATTGAATGAAGTTAAGAAACTTGACATCCTCCCCCCCTCAATTGAAATCTAATCATGCGTTACGCGAAATGTCTCGGTTCTCTGAACGTTACTACAGCCTTGATCTATTATTATTACATATTCGGAAATGTAATCGCCGATGATGATTCTAACCGCAATTTTGAACGCGCGTACAAATGGAGAAATTTACAAGAAGGCTTCCAAGAGGCGAAAATCTGCAGGAAACCGATATTTCTGCTAATCTACAAACTGGGCTGTCCGACTTGTGAGCAATTGAAGCCTAAATTCACCAACTCGATCAAAATTCTCAATCTTAGCCAGCAGTAAGTACTTTTTGCGCGGAACGTTATTACATAAAAATATATATTTCCCTACTTTGCCGAGTTGTGGCCGGCATTTATTTGAACTTGAAAACGCGCGGCGCGCACCTCAAAAGGCAATTCCTGTTACTAGATATGTCATATACAATTACCTATAAACGTGCCGTCGAAGAGGCTTGCATGCAAGATTCACGATTCTAATAATTACTATAGATATGTATTGGGTCATCTAAAAACCGCGGATACTTTTTAGATGACCCAATATATGTATATGTATACATACGTACAAGATATTATTAATGATAGATCGATTATTTTGATCTCGCATTAGCGTAAATGTCTAATCCAATCATACATTGTGTAAGCGAAATATTTTTTTATGACTTAAAGTAGTACACTCGCAAATTAAAAATAGTCAGAAATTGAATTCTCTTGAAATTAAAACTGTACATTGTACATTGAAATACTTGTGCAATTAATGAGATTGACCTTATACATATAATAACAATATACTAAGATACATGTATAAGCAATTAAAATTGTACTTTTTATATATGTATCGCTTATACAAGGTTTAAATGGTGAAAATGTTGCATTTATTTTTGTAAGCTCTAAACTAGCAATGATAATTATCTAATAAAAAAAAAAGAAAAATGACAAGCATGCGATGGAGGAGCATGAAATGGATATTATGGAAAGAATGTCGTTATATTAATTTTTAGTTTGGTAGTTAATGTTTAGTTTGGAAAACAGAGCCGTGAAAAGAATACAAAAATTTGTCAATGTGTCATGTAAATCAAAGGGGATCGATAATGATAAGTAAGGATCTGAGCACAAGAATTGTAATTGTCATAACACTTACTTTATTAGAGACTTAAGTTGTAGATGTAAGTAACGCACAAGTTTTGGCATATGACATACGACTTACTAGAGGCACGGCAATAATAGATAACCGATTTATCTCCAAAAAGTCACTTAAAAAGTTCACTAACTCACCAACCAACGTTCTAGTGGCTAAAAATAATTTAATTTGATTCCTCATATTATTTTGCGGAAAAACATCTACTATATACTTAATTTTTTTATGTGATCATTAAATAGCCGTAAAAAATTTTTTGTTTAAAAAATTTAAACTTGGAATAAAAATTTTGTAAGCTTAATTGGATCAAAATGGACATTTTTTATCTCTGAGATTTTTTTGTGCAAATCAATAGTTTTTGAGAAAAAAATGCCTAAACTTGAAAAATGACTACTTTCATTTTGACGACTTTGATTTTTTTTTCTCAGAAACTAGTCATGCAATCAGTATAAAAAATGAAAATATTCCGGCCAATCTTAAACTATAACAAGAATTTTACTTTATTTTGATCTGTACTGTTATTGACAGTGAAAACATTATTACAATGAAGACGCGTCCGCGGCGTCTTATATAATAATAGTACAGATCAAAATAAATTAAAATTCTGAGAAAAAAAAATCATAAAAGTAGTCATTTTTCAAATTTAGACATTTTTTAATCTCAAAAACTATTGATTTAAACAATAAGTCTCAGAAACAAAAAATGTTCATTTTGATCCAATTAAACTTATAGAATTTTTTCGGAATTTTCATTCCAAGTTTAGACTTTTTAAACAAAAAATTTTTTGAACTATTCAACGATCACATAAAAAAATTAAGTGTAGATATTTTATGTATAGATATTTTTCCGCGGAATAATATGAGGAGTCGAATTAAATCATTTTCAGCCACTAGAACGTTGATTAGTCAAGTTAAACCGAAAATGGGGGTAAACTGCTAGCCTGTAAGTCATACGTCATCATACGCGTAACGCCAAAGCTTGTTGCATCACTTACGTCTACAACTTAAGGATTCTCTACATAGAAGTCGTAGATGGTCGTGGAATCTTAAGTCCGTAGGAAACCAACCAATCAAATATATACAATCAAACATAAGGAGAATACTCGATTAAAATTGGTCAGTTTGACTTGTATGTAGAGGAGGGTATGTAGTATGTAGAGGATCCTTTAAATCTCTAATAAAGTAAGTATTACGACAATTACAATTCTTGTGCTCAGATCCCAACTAAGCATGAGTTGCATCTTAGTTTGCGTTTATTTGTATAATTCACATTTTTTTCGCGTGTGGACAGGCGCGTAACCAAAAAGTTTCTCTCAGTGTATTGGCGGGAACGGGAATTGCGAATATCGTCACTGATACTCGCTGATGGAACTCAAGTTTTAAATGGTATTGTCGCAAGTGTATTACCTTCTTAAACTTGACGTTGAAGAATACAATTAAATGGAACGATAAATATAGAAAGGGAAAATGCACACAAATGAAAGATAACAAAACACATAAAGATTAGAAGGATACTATATGTATAATATTAAATTGGTTGTATAAATTTTTTCGTGACGCAGCTTTGTTATGGTGGGTATGAAGAAAGATGAGATTCCCGCACAAGACGAAGCAAAATTTCAACCAGACGGAACCTACGTTCCAAGAATCCTTTTTTTCACTCCGGATGGCAAATTTATGAAAGATGTTTATAATCACCATCCAAAAGCCGATAATAAATATAAATATTTCTACAATAGTACAAGTCAAATAATAGATAGTATGATTTTGGCATTGGAACATTGTTCCGAAGATACTCTTGACGATAAAACGGAGATGAAGAAGTAATATTCAATTTTTCAATTTGACTTTGCTGCTGTCATTACAATGATAGTTGGACGTAGCTGAAATAAATTTATCTTGTTACAAAAAATATAACACTTTCTTAAATTATAGTTATAGATGATATATTAGAATTGAACGGATACAAATGGAATGTTTTACTAATACACAAATAAAATTAATTAAATTATATTGTAATAATAAGAAAGGGGAAAGAAGAGGGAGGGAGAGAGAGAGAGAGAGAGAGAGAGAGAGAGAGAGGAAATAGAAATAAAATGAGCTGCAATAGATCCTACATGTTGTATAATAGCAGTAATAAACATTAATTATTTTTGATTACTCGTTTAATCTTATGTAAACGTCTTTCTACAGACAAAGATTATTAAAAATTATTAAGAGGATAAAGTAGTATATGTAATAGAATAGATAATTTAAAATAGACCAACAGCTTTCCCCCTTTCTCTCTCTCTCTCTCTCTCTCTCTCTCTATCTATCTATCTTATCTGCTATTCATCTATCTTTCACAGCTCACAGCGCGCGCACGTAACAAAGCTCTCTTACCCAGCATTCGAGTCTGCGCCTGTACGTCATCAGATTCAGTATATACTGCGTCCAGTATACGGCTATACGGCTATACGGTAGCCTATAGCGCGATCGCAGAGGTAGGCATGACGGCGCTTGCGTTTGCAACAGTTGCCAGAAGGTAAAACGGCTTCGCATTGGTCGACGAGATCGTAGCTGAGAACACAACCCCTCGTAACCACGCCCATCTCTCTCTTCCTTATTATAATATACGCGACTATTGAGTATATATTTACATAAATCTTAAATCAGTTCTACCTTTTTAATGAGATATTTTTTTTTTAATGGAAAAGTAAGAAAACAGAAATAGCTGTGGTAAAATATATAATGCGCAAGTACTAATTTAAAATTGTACATTAACATTGTACATGCATATACATACATATCACATATTTATTATTTATGTACGTTCTTCCAAAAGGATCTACAATCTTTTTGCATCAAGCCAATATTTCTTAAGGCATTGCTCGATTAGTGAATAGGCACTTTTCTAATTCTTTCTTCATTTTCTATGAACAAAAATTATGTTTTCTTTTCATAAGTGAATGCTAATTTTATCGTCTTGATACTTACTTAAATATATTGATGCGCGTGTGACAACAAGTTATCGGTACCGATATCTACCAATTAACAAAATTTGATAATACAAATCTGATATTTATGATTCAACAGTAGAACAAACTGTACGAGAGAGTTAGTATTTGTATAAAAGAGGCAAAAATGAAAGAAGAAAAAAATAGAAAGCCTAAAAAAAAAGAGAAGAAAAAGAGTAAAATTGCGAATACTTAAAGTAGCTCGAGTAGAGAGACGGTGGCTGGGGATTTCGCAGGACAAGTGGAGCTTACGCACACGTTATACGTTATATATGGATCTCTTCGCGGACGGTTCTGTATTTGAAGGGTTGCGGATAATATATAGCCCGTTTCGGCGGAGAGTGCTTTTTGGCTTTGACCGTTTCACATCCGGTGGCAGACCGGCCACGGCCGCGCCGCGCCACGTCGGGCTATCACGTATAACGGTATAAGCCGTATAATATCGGATCCGAATGCGCGCGCGTGCGCGTGCGTGTGTGTCCACGTCCACACCCGCACCTATACCTCTACGCGCGTCCGTCACTTTTTTTTCCCCCGTAGAACTCCGACCACCGTCCTACCGGCGCGACGCGGCGGATGGATGGGGGTGGCTTTAAAAAATGAGCCAGGACATTATTTCTGCTCACCCCCTTCTGCACGGACTGACCGGTCCAGTCCCTTCTTCCCTTTCTCCCTCTCCCCTCCCAATGTCGTTTCCGCCGGTGCAGCTTGCGATGTGCTGCATCAGCGAATGTGCAAAAATGAAAAGAGAGAGTCCGACGAGTCCGCGCGGAGGGGTAGGTAGGTAGATAGATGGATAGATCGGCGAGGAGAGATCGAGAGATCGAGATGGGAGAGTGGGAAGAGAAGAAGAATTATACACACATATCTCTCTCTCTCTCTCTCTCTCGCGCGCGCGCATCTCCCACCGCCTGTCCGTTTCGGTATGCGCTCGTTTGGATATGCGCTTGGTGCGGATATCGCGGCGCGGCGGGAGAGCCACGGAGCCATTTTCAATTCAATCTGTTAAAAGCACGTCAAAAAGTCATAGGTACGGTATTTCACATTTCACTAGCGCAGCGCAGCGCAGCGCAGCACGGTAGAGCCCGACGAGATCGCGCGATCCGACAGCGGCCTGAATGCAGGCGCGCGCCAATCCACCATGATGGATCCACGTCCACCTGACACCATATCGCATGTATGCACCGATATAGTATTAGTGTGCTGATGTCGTCCAGAATTATCAGCAAGATTAACTAGCATCGTTTGATACGCTTTAGAGTTTTTAGACTTTATTGTTAGTCTACAACCTTGGACAAATTAAAGAGACAGTAATTACCTGTTTAAAGAGACAGATCTGCGAGTCCTGTGACCAAAGTCTTCAAAGTAATCTTTCAGAATGAAGACGTCAATTTAAACGTTGTGTTGCTTGATTTAAAATCCATATAAAATCCATACATTTTAAATAATATCATTTAAACGGGCTAATAAAATTTATACGTATCAACAATATTACCGCGTGTATACTATACTCGTACATATTATACATTACATTGTGTATAAGAGGCGGCATATTGTTATTAGTTTCATTACACGAAACTTTATATCGAAGTGATCTGTCGAATTCCCTCTCGATCGTATCGATCGTATCGATCGTATCTATCGAGCAAACAGGTTACATGTACGGTTACTGTTACGGCGCAGGCGGTACACTGACAATAAGAGCTAGGGATATAAGTTCTCAAGATCGAAGCGTCCGCGCGTCGTATATAATATAAGTATTTTTTACCTGCGCTTTTCTTTCATACGAGGCTTTTACGTGGCGACACCACGTAAAAGTAAATCTAATCTAATCTCCGATCGCGGCTGTTATTCGACCAACCTAACCGTCCGTACACACAGTGTCAGGAGTGAATTCGACGTTTGCAAACATCGTAATTCGATATTGCCGCGATTTCGATCTCGATCGTGCTATTTATCCCTCCAAGGGTGCACGCGATCCGCGGGAAATCTCGAGTGGGCGTAGGCGAACAATATATATAGTATTCCACCGAGCAGATTAATTCGACTTGAATCTGCAGACGAGATAAGTCGGATACTTTTGGAAACATTCAACGAGAGTAGGAAGAATTGAAGAATTCGTGGGAAAAAGATTTTACAACGAAACGTAGTCGGTTATTTGTATAGTTTTCATTAAATGGCAGAGGAGCGCGACTTACAATTAATTGTATCTGTAAATATACTTGTAATATGGCATATTATTCAAATTGCTTTTTTATAAAATTGCAATTACAATTTTGCAATTGTTGAAATCGATTTCATCAGGAGCTTAATTGGCTTAATCCTCTAGCATGGAGGAAAGTGAACAATTTTTGATGGATAACGTTTTCATTCATTCACTTTATACGATTTCTCCGATTTTGCGTTTCGGATTTCGGGACGAAAAGTACATACATGATACTTAATGAACGGGCAGGTATTGGCGAACCTATTGGTTTATTGATTTTCCCATCGGCATGTACGTTCACTTTGAGTGGCCGATGTGCGAGAGTAAAAAAGGTCCATG